AGGTCATTTTGAACAGCAACTTCATTCTAAAAAAAACAAATTCTTCTGGCCATTTTCTCAATAATGTAAAATGTCACTGATAGAAAATGGTGGTGGTAATTAATCGAAGTATTGAGATCACACTCCATTGATTTTGAAGCTTAAACTAAATCATGCAGATATACTGATTTTAAAAAGACATATAACCCATTCTATGGGTTAAATTAAAATACTGTAAAGGACCTGAGCATTAATCCCAGCACTTACCTTATATTGATTAAGATCATATAATTCAAAGTCCACAGTTGGGAATTATATACAGGACAAAAATACAAAGAAGTATGATAGGGGTTTTCTTTAGCAAAAATGAAATCAAAATTAACCATTCATGAAATCCTTTAAATAATAATAAAAAACATAATTCATCTTATTTTCAAATTATTTAAACAGGTTTTTTTCTATATTTTCAAAACATTGGCAATTCTCTCTATAATGATTCCTTCTTGTGTAAAGCCCAATAACCTGCTATGTCTTTTTGTTTGTTTGTTTGTTTGTTTTCAATTATTATACTGAGCAGCCCTGAGATTCCTTGATTCTGAAGTGTGGCACCTAATTACATAAAAAAGAAAGAAAACTAAAAAATGCACGTGTGGGTTTTTTTTTTTTTACATTAGAAGACATATGTAAGACTGGAATCCAATTTTTGCCATATTTTTGAGTGTACAAAGGTTACTGTATGCTTGAAGATGAATGAAATTTGCAAAGTGAATTGCGAAAATGACAGAAATTGCTAAAATGGCAAAGCTGACTTATCTAATCAAAGCAAAAAACTTTTTTAAAAAATGAGACTGGAAATATTAGGTGGATGTTTTGATGAAAAAAGAAAAAAATAATATGATGATTTATGAATTTGATGATTAAAAAAGATCCAGATCGAGTGAAGGAATAAAGGAATTTATAAAGCATCCAAGAGGAAGAAAGAATTATAAGATTACAATTATCTCTTGAAGAGATGGTTGGAAGTAATTACATTTAATAACTTATTTTCATATTTTTTATATTTATCTTTATGCAAAATTCTTCACAAATATAAATTAAAAAAACATATTGCACTAGTCTATCCAAAATGTGATTAAGGCATAAGTTAATGCTGTTAGGGATTCCTGCTCCAGGAATGCAACATCTAGAATATGAACCAAAATTGAGCAAAGTCACTACCAGAGTTAATAGCGAAAGATATGGTTTCTTAATAAGCAGCAATTTCAAAATGCAGGGATTCCATTTCAGCTGATTTCTTCTTATCCAGTACCTTACAGCTTCAGATACCAGATCAGGAATTCTACAGCATATCTGGTCCAGTACAGAATAGAAGTATGTTTTTGAATATCATAAAACTATTAAAGATATTCCATTCCAAATTTATGACCATTCCTAGTGGTTTTATGCAAATGAGGAACAGAAGGAACAGAAAGAAAGAGGCAAGATTGAAGGGTAATATCCCATATGGAAATAATTGATCCCTATACCACAAAATAGTAGTTATAGCCAACGAGAGACTACACAGTAAGGAGTAAAAGTTCTGTAAAATTATGTCCCCACTCCTAATTCTTACAAGAGCCTTTTTACACTGATTTTAGGCCTGAGGACCTAGATAGTATGTTTCCACTAATGCTCTCCATACTAAGACACTGCTACCACTTTCTCAATGAACCTTTTTTAAAGTGGCAATCTTAATTACTTTCTCCCTTGTGAGAAGTTGATCGCCACCAAAATCCAATGGTACAGTATTTAACCAATGCAGCTAGGCAAAATAGAAGTATTAAGAAGGTTAATGAGGGTAACCAGCAGTCTGTAGACTTCAAGCAAATGATTTAGAAAGTGACTTCCATATTCTTCCAATCTATATTATACTGAAACCAGGTGATATAGATACCTTTACCAGTTGTTGACTATTTCCTGGCCTAATTTAAACCTGTTGTTTTTTTAAGGAATCTTTTGTCCTACTATGACTTCATTAAGACATTAACTTCTCAAGAACAGCCTTTCCAAAGAGCTCATTATTGTCAGACGCCGTCATCAGGTCTGAATCACAATAAAAATTGTGGAACACAGCCTGTTGAATCCAGCAACAAATTAGATTGACTACACTTATGAGTAGATATGATACATAACTGTATGACTTGTAAAAAAAACTTGTGAATAGACTATTTCGCTAATGAGATTGATATAGGAATATTAAGCATATTTCTATCTACCTATCTATCCAGCATTTTAATGACATCTCTTGGGTTTTGAATCTCTAATTATTGAATTAACATTTTCACAGTTTACTCATAAACACCTTGATGATTGGCAGATTCAAGTTATTCTGGGTGAGATTTAAATGCCCCCCTTGGATGTTAGTCTTTTGTATTTTTTAAAAAAATGTTTTGATACACCAAGTCCTTATTCTGATGCTAATAATCATGGAATTATTTTCCTTCTTTTTAAAACAAAAGTAATAGCTTTACTCAGTGATTTTAATTGTTCAGTTACAGAGTCACCATAATAACAGGCATATCTTTTTGAATGCAAATTGAACATTTTCTCTGTTAATGTTACTAAAATTGAGGCAAAATGTCATAAAAGTGAGTTCATTCAAAGAAAATAAATATATCAATAAATCTCAGAATTTCCAACTTTAGCAATAGATCTGCTTCTTAAAGTGAGAACTGAAATGAATAAGAATTTTATTTTTTTTCTTTTGCAAATTGTTAATGTTCAGTTCTACTTACTTATTTGTGAAGTTAATAGACAGTCAATGCAATTTAATATATAGATTTTGGTTTGGCTAACATTGTGTCTTATTTTTAATAACTATAATTATTTTCTCAAACAAAAATATGTTTGCACTTTTTGGATGCAACCGTGTTTTTGAAATAAAACAGAACACTGTGAAATAGACCTCTTTCAAACATTCACCTATAGAATAATAATGATTTCATGGAACATTTTCTGTAATGATTTAAATAAATTCAATACTGAATTCAAGTTTAGTATAAGGCTTTATTTATTTAATACCAGCTATAAGTCTACCTGACAGTTGAGAAATAGAGGAGCAAGAAATTAAATGCCAGCTTCAGACTGACATCTAAACTCTGGAAACATGTAAGTAATACATATCATTTTACAATTATTACAAATACTTATGTACTGGTAAGTATAGTTTGATCAAAGATGCATTTTACAAATATTTATCAATTCATATTTAGCCATTTTGAAACAATGTAATTATTCATTCCCATATAATGATATCATTTATAATTTATTTATTAGATTTGTTTGCCACTCATCTCACTTCAAGACAACTCTGGATGGCTTACAAATATCTTATTTTTAAAATAATGAGAGAGGGAAAAAAAGTAATTGGATATAATGGGTATAATGAGAACAAGTGTGGTGTTGTGGTTAAATTAGGAGATCCAACATGCTGCCTCCTTTTGAGATGGAAGCCAAGTATTTTGAGGTGAGGTGGGATGTCACTCTCTCAACTTTAAACTGGGAACTAAAAAAATATCCATGAAATAACTTACAATGTATCATCATGGTAGATATTAATAGTTCATAACCTTCAGTAAAGATATCTTCATTCTGTAGTGGACCAATTTAAGATTTAGACAATGAAGAATTCTTACCTGGTAACCCAATGTGTTAATGGTAGTTTAGAAATAATAATAATAATAACACTGATCATCACTGTAGTAATAGTCATGGCTATATAGTTCAATGTCCACCTTTTTTCTTACATTCAGAAAATATCTAAAGACTTCAAGATTTATTCAGTCATTATAACCCCCCCAAAAAAAATATGGTTTGATTATTTCTCTGAGCAGTGAGTTTGCTTTCTTGTAATTGTATATTTAGATTGCTAACTTATGTATGATTCTACATGATGTATAGTTTTTCCTTTTGATTGTGTATTGTTTATATTATTTTAATTTTGTCTATTTTTCTTTTCTGTTCTTAACCCAAGGTATGGATCTCAGGAATTTTATACCATTGAGAGTAAGTTTGATTGGGCTGGCTCATAACTAATTGTATGTTGAAATTAGAACTGCTTCAGTCCTTCAATGTCTGTTGAATAAGACATCTTCTGGTATTAATAAATTCAAATTTGAATTTGGATTAAGCAATATATGGCAAATGAGTTTGTGTATGACTATTGCATATTTGATAGTTTTTGAGTACTGACTACTTATAATCAGTTACAGCAACATTTCTCTATGACAATAGAGAAATAGAATACTAAGAAAGTGACTGTCAAATCCGAGTCAATCTATTGAAATGATATATGAAGCCTGTAACTAAGAAGTTTATTTTATAATGAATAAGGTATATACAAGTGAGTGTAGCTTAATTATTTTTTTTCATACATTCAGAAACATTTTTATGGCACAATATACTATATATTTATGCATTACCATGATAGGATGCTGCATATATTCATATTTCAAGAGGGGGAGGGGATTTCTATTCTGCTTTATCACATACCCAAATCTGTTAATGGTAATTTAGAAGAATGGTTTTCACAGCAATAAAGGTCAGGGATATAAAATTCAGAAAACATGTTGAAAATGTAATAATACAGTATCCCTCATAGATAGTCAAATGGTTTTCTCCTCCTGATACCCTAAAAGATTTGTTTGTTTCATCAAGGTCTACAAATAGGGCTGTTGTGACTGTTCTGCACAATTAGGTTTTATTATTAATATTATTATTCCCAATTTGGGAATAATTCTGCTACAATTTATGGATTCTTTTTTATTTTTGTTATTGAATAGCTACACCCTTGAAACATAGAAAGTAAATACATTTGATAGTATTTGATTTGATTGCAAAAAAAACCCACCACCTTTAACAAGTAATATCAATTGTAATTGACATTGTTAGTAAATTGTTCTAGGAAAAATTCATGATATAGCTCACAATGTTTCTCAATTATTCCAGGAAGAAAATACTTAAAACCATTAACAGAATTTTAAATGGAGAACAACCTGACAACTATAGTAGAGTTTATTCTCCTAGGCTTCTCCCAGAATCATAGAATGCAATCGCTTCTCTTCCTCCTTTTCCTTGCCATTTATACCACAACTTGGCTGGGAAATCTCACCATTATAATTACAGTATTTCTCACCCCTGCTCTGCATACACCCATGTATTTCCTGCTTGCTAACTTGGCTGTTGTAGACATCAGTGAATCTTCTGTCACATCACTCAAAATGTTGTGGAATCTCTTCTCTCACACTCATACCATTTCTTACAATTGGTGCATTGCACAGATTTTTTTCATTCATTTAACAGGGGGCACAGTGGTCTTCTTACTAATTGCAATGGCTGTTGACAGATATATTGCTATTTATAAGCCCCTACAATATTTAATTATCATGAAGAAAGAAATTTGCATAGGACTGGTAGCAGGGGCATGGTTAGGTGGCTTTGCTCACTCCATTATCCAGGTTGGAATTCTCCTTCAGCTCCCTTTCTGCAAATCCAACATTTTGGATAATTTCTACTGTGACATTCCTCAACTTATCAAGCTGGCATGTGCTGATACATACACACCTGAGGAAGACTACCAGACGTTATCACCTGAAGAGGACTGTAATTAAAAGAAGTGAAACGAACACAGTATATGTCGGTAGAATCATTTCTAATCCTCCGTATATTGTCTTCCGTTTGTGTTCCGGGAAAGGTGAACACGACCCCAGATCATAGTTATGAGTTTAAATTTTGTTCCAGGGATGTTCATTTATGACCGCCCTTTCAAGGTATTTGAAGCAGACAAGATTGTTTCAGTGCTCTACACTCTTTTGACCCCAATGCTGAATTCCATGATCTTCACTCTTCGGAATAAGGAGATGAAACTCACCATTAAGAAGCTCATGAGAAAATGCTATCTTTTTAAATAGACAAAAGCACCACATTCCACCATGAGGGAAACATGCAGAACAACTTAAAGTTCAGTCCCCCATTCCATAGCATTGCTCTTTGAATTAGTAAAATATGCAAATGTGAAAACTTGCTGTGCTCAGTGAACAAATGACTAATTTTTTAGACAAGTTTCACAACTTGGAACACACATTTGGTTTACTTCAATATGAAGCAACCCTGAAGAAGTTGAATGTATAGGCTCTGTGTTTTCTTTTCCCTGTAATAAATTATTGCTCTTTATTTTCTATTTATATTTAAATTGTATTCATAAAGTGTATTGTTCTTCAGATTTTTTTAATTAGTTTGTCACCATGCTGGCATAAATTTTGCATGTGTGCCTATGTTGCCTATCCACTACACCCTGGATTTTAACTAACATGCTTGTAGGCTATTGTTGTACATTAATTATTATATTAACTAATGTTAAATTAAATATTAAATTAAATACAATCTCTCCTCCTATAGTGACCACAAGGCATTCAGTGAAATGTCTATGGAGATTCTGAGTCATCCAGGTCATAGTTATTCCAAAGATGCTTTTTCACAAGGCAACTGGACTTTCTTGTTTTTCTTTTAAGATTTTTCCCTTCTCATCCAAGAAGCTTCTTCAGCTCTGACTAGATGGTGGGAAATGAAAGTATAAATCTTTCCATTCAGTGAAATGGTTCCTAACTGAAATGATCACTAAGTGAACATCTCTCTGTGTGTGTCTCTCATTCACAGAGGGGGGGGGAGTGAAGTTTGGTGTTTGCTGCCATCTCATTTAGATAAAATTCTTTCATTCTCATTTAAAGAACAAAGAAAAGAAACAATTCCTGCAGATACCTGATTACAGCCACTTCTCAATTAACAACTATCTCAATTAGTGATTGTTTGCAAACATGGTGATGATAAATGTTAAGTAAACAGAAGTTAAAAAGAGTCATTATCTGTCCAATGTGTTCACTTACTTCCAAATTTCTATGTAGCAACAATACACGCCAGAGTGTGAATAACACTGTTCTTTCTGCATGAGAGAATTTTACCCCTGTAGTGGACTAGATGAGGGAAAACAAGCTTTAATTTAATCTACACACAATAAAAATGTTGTTACTTTTTAAAACACACATACACACACATACACACACAAGCTAGATACTGGAATAATTCTGAATGGGCTTGTATTGCCCAGAAAGTATTGATTGTGAGTTCTTTCGACCTTCATTTGTAATTGGATTTCAAGGTGTTAGTTGTGAGTGCATTTGAACATTATAATTAATGTACTGTGACATTTAAGACTCCAAATGTACAAATCTACTCTACACGAAAGAGCCCTAACTCTTCAGAACCATTGTGACTACTAATCAATAACCTGATGAAAAAAAACATTGAAATAATTTATTTAAGAAGCGATAAACACATCAGTTATTGTTGCCAGAGTTCCCTACTCCAGGAAGGGTCACAAGTGAAGCATCAACCAAAAGTAAGCAAAGGCTGTCCTAGACACAGTCTCTACTTGTTGTGTAGAAGGAGGTATCAAGGCAGAAATGAATACCATGCATCTAGGAGAGTCCTCAAATCACATACCTATTTCTTCAGGAGATACAATCTTATCACTACCAGAGCTAACAAAAAAGTAGATGGTTTCTAGATAATAACAATTCAAACTTGCAGGGACTGAATTTCAGCTTGTTTCTTCCTACTCAATGCCTTACTATCTCCAGACACCAAATCAAGGCTTATACAGAATAACATTTCTGGTCAAGTACAAGGTGGAGGTATATGGTTAAGTCTCATAAAAATATTGAAGAGAGATCAGATGTTCAGACACATCAGACTGCAATACTTAAAGCCAAGCAGGAGAAAAAGAAGACAAGTCACATGACTAATTCATCTCTATTATGCTACTTACCCAAGCATGATGAGTGCTCAAGGGAAGAAGTGATCAGTAATATGTGCTGGGGAACTTACATAACCCACAAGCTACCACATAGCTGACCCCCTACTAATTTTGTTTGAAGTTGATCCATCTTATTAGAAAATGAAGAGAAGAGAAGCAGGAGTGTTATAACTCTCTAATCCTTTCTCTTCTGTTCTGATATCTCCAAGTATTGTAATATTCATTATTTAGACTTTTCATTTTTTCTTATCAACAATTAAGTCTGGGAAGTGTGGCAGATGTTTGTCTGTTTGAATTCCAAAGTTCCAAAGCAATTTAGCTTCATCATTTTCAATTGAATACTTTGTCTATTTTGTGGTGTTACCAGTTCTTGCTTGCAGGCAGAGTATTTCGTGCAGGTATTCCAATGCACCATTGCTGCTATTTGTCATGCTGTTGTTTGTAGTCAGTCTGTATGATCCTCTTGCAGCAGTGGCCCACTATTTCTTCAGCTTTCTTGCAGAGGCAGCATTTGCTATCTATAACTGTGTTTTTGATTCTGGCTTTCAATGTATTTCTTCCTAAGGCTTGGTCTTCTTCAGCCAGAATTAGCTTCATCTGCCTATTTTTTTTTTTAATTTTCCTGCTCTAAGCCATTGCCAGGTCTTGCTATCTGCTTTGCCTGTAGGTTTTTGTTTTGTTTTTAAATGTATTGGCCCTGTAATTCTTTGTCTAGCCATGAGGTGTTTTTCTATTCTTCATTTACTCTTCCTTATAGACTACTTGGATCCTTTGGATAAGCTTTGATGGCATGCTATTTAATTTGATCAAATTATAATAATTCAAGAAAATCCAGTTAGAAAATCCAATTCATTTCTAACCTGTGTACAATACTGAAATCAGATTATTCAAATATCTTTACTAGTTACAAATTCTTTTCTTGGCCATATTTAAGGTTTTTACCACATTGTATCTGAGGGAATTCCTTTCCTATGATGAATTCATTTACACATTAAATTCTCAAGTACAGCCTTTCTAAAGAGCTCCCTGCTGCCAGAAATCTGGTCATCAGGTCTGCATCACACCAAAATTGTGGAACACAACCTCTTGAATCCACCAACTAATGTGGTTGATGTCTCTTTTATAAATAGTTATGATACATAATTGTATGTGGATTTTCATATATCAACGATGAATCTTGTGAATACAGGTGGTCCTTGACTTATAAGCATTCATTTAGCAACTGTTCAAATTTTTGTCAGTATTGAAAAAAGTGACTTATAACTGTTTCAGCATCCCTATGGTCAGGTGATCAGAATTTAGGCACTTGGCAATGGTATGTATTTATGACAGCTGTAATATTCTTCAGTCATGTGATCACCATTTGCAATCTTCATAGCTTCGGACAAGTAAAGTCAAAGGGGGAAACTGATTTTGCTTAACCACTGTATGATTTGCTCTTAATGACTGTGTTGATTTGCTTAACAACCACAGCAAAAAAGGTTGTAAAATTGGATTTGACTCACTTAACAACTGCCTCACTTAGTGACAGACATAAGGCAAGGATTACCTGTAGACTATTTCTCTAATGGGTTCATATAAGAATAGCAAGCATATTTCTATCTATCTACTTCCACAGCATTTTAATAACCTCTCTTGAGTTTTGAGTCCCTGGAGTTAACATGTTCATAGTTTACTCATAACCTCATGAAGATTGGTAGATGTACGAATACATCTACCAATACAAATTAACCTGAGGCTGATTCCAGTGTCCCTTTGTATATGAGTCTTTTGCCAATTTTTTAAAATGTTATGATACAACTAATACTCATACCAAAGATTGTACATTTTGTCTGTTAACATATCTAAGGTTGGAAAGGAAGTATTATTAAATGTCTGTTTATTAAAAGAAAATAAAGTATTGGTAAATCCCAGAATTGCACATTCAGAACTTTAGCAATATATCTGCTTATTAAAGTTGAAAGAATGAGAATTGTGGAGGGGGTTAGGGTTTTTTTCTTTTTCTTTTTTACTAATTTTTAATATTTATTTTTACCTATTTGAGAAGGTAAGAGATGCTGAATGAAATTTGGTGGAAAAGTTTTTGCTTCATTCTTCATATCAATAGTTGCCTGAAAAATGAAATTTCATCTTCTCCTTTTAGATGAATAGAAGAGTTTCAGGATGAAGTTGTGTTTTTTTTATTTTAATAAAACTTAAAATACAAAATAAAATGAATGTTGAAATTATAACTACTTCAATCATCACCTGTAAGTATGAAATGACTTCCGAGAATTTTATTAAGTTCAAAATTGAATTCTTATTATGTAGTATAACATATATGCAATTTATGATTTTTGATTTAACTTGTATTTTATTGTTGATTAGGCTACAATATTGCTCACATATTTCTCATATTTTTCAGTGAATTTATAAGTTTGGAATGTGGTATAGTAAGCATAAACCGATTGGAATGGTCTGTAGGTCCTGTAAATGACTACATTTTTTATTTTTTTTTATTTAAAAAAAACCCCATAAATATACAGTCATGTGAAAAAGTAATTAAACCCTCTTTGAGTTCTATTGTTTTATATGTAAAGACATAGTAAAAATAATCTGGTCCTCAGCTGTTCTTAAAAGCAGGTAAATATGACCTCAGATGAACAACAAGACATGACATATTACACTATATCATGAATTATTTTATGAAAAGAAAGCCAAAAATGAAGCCAAATAAATGCATAAAGTAAATTATATTAAAGATAGATCATTAGCTTTTAGAAGCTAAAATAATATGCCTTGTTTGTGTTTTCTCTGGCAAAAAAGATTTATTTTAGTTTTATATGACTTTAAAATAAAGGGATTTCTATACCCTTGAAATATACACAATAAGAAAATTTGATAGCATTTGACTTGATATCAGAAGAAAAACTTTTTAACATATAATATGTATTGTCGGTGAATTGTTTCAGGAAGAATTGACATAATTCACAATGTTTCTCAATTATTTCAGGGGGAAAATACTTAAACCCATTAAGAGGATTTTAAATGGAGAACAACCAAACAGCTGTAGTGGAGTTTATTCTCCTAGGCTTCTCCCAGAATCATAGAATGCAGTCA